TCTTCGATAAAATATGTCGTTATATTTATATATTATATATTTCGTTAGTATCGATTAATTACACTCGCGTAACTCAAAGTGATTTATAGAAATGTATATCTTATATTTATATCAATTATTTTATGTGTAAGAAATACCGATATTAATTGTTGACAAAATTTAACAGACATTTAATTCATTATCATTTATTCTATCTAAGCTTCTGATGATGGAAAAGATACGCCTGCGAGATGTAAATCCACCGCTAATAATAACTAGCACAGAGAAATGCCGACAAAAAACTTGGCAAAGATCCTTTTTTAAATATATGATTAGCGCGTTCACATTAACAAACACCAATCCGCTCTGGGCCCACTTGATGGGACTATTTTCCCTATTCGAATCCATCTATAAGAAAGGTCTATGACCCGACAAAGTGGATATTAATAGGTCAACGGTGCATTTATGTATGAAAAACATTAGGTAATTACATTAGGTAATGATCGAAATGATACATATCACTTTTTTCTTCAAGATATTTAGTCGCCCGTCACTAATGCATAAATACAAAGTACGGGCAGCCTCAGCGAGTTCATTTTGATAGTAGGTAAAATCAATGACTAGTGTTAATAAAGCATATAAATTGCCCGCACCCGCATGCGTACCCCGTGGACTAACGTAAAAGAGCCACAATTGTAGTGTTGTGAAATCGTTACTTTTTACTTATTCATACTTGTCCCTTTAGAACGATTAACTGTGGCACGTCTTCTTAAAAAAAGAAGAAATTAAATTAAAATACTTACACTTTTTAGTAAACTGTAATCAAATTAAATTTTGGTAATACGAAACGTGTTTGTGGAACAAAAAAAATAGGTGTCAAAGAATTTGGTGCGAGTGATATTTTTATATCAAAACACAACTTATACTTTATTTTAATGTTGTTTATATTATATTGTCATATTCATATTCAATAACTGAATTCGAAATTCACTTCTAAAAGAAACAGGCAACTAGATAAGCACCAAATTATGGATTTGGATTAGAAAAAAGAAAATGTCCATACAAAAGATAGATCCTAAGAAATTGATGAAGTCATTAAATCGAATGAATCGACTTGGCATCCGGTAAAAAGGCTATAAAATATTTCTGTAAAGAGGGCGTTTGTTATGCTTATTAATATTTTCCGGGCCACAGAAAAACAGAAAAAAAAAATATATTTCGTAACTGATTTTTCCTGTCTATGTCTTAAAATCCAACCATTAGAAAGTTTTGCAAGGGATTGGATGAAAAAAGTACACAAAAACAGCTTTATGAAACGTATAATAATGAATGTAAGTATTTAGAGTCAATGAATAAAACAAACTTTGTAAAACCTAACATAGTTTGATAAGGGAGATTTGAAGGGCTCAATTGCATAACTGTTCTTTGGAAATAGAGAAAACCAGTGGCAACACGCCCAATGTCGCCACTGTGTGCCATAGAAAGTGTTTAGAGTAGCAACAAACAGCTGCGTGGGCGCAACATACCCAAAATGCACTCATTAGCAATTCGGTTGGTGTACCCGCCACTCGTCACGTCTGCACTTTTACTTTTAATATATTTTCACTAACACTTTTTATATAGGCTTGGCTTCTTTGCTTTCTTTTGTACGGACACATATTTGGTATTAGGTAGTATCATTTCGTAACAGGTAAATTCAAATCCAGCTTTATATTTCGAAGGTTAAGCTTTACGCGATGATTAGATCTCTTGAATACTGGGAAGTCAAACTTTTAGGTATATTTGGAAGATGAACTTCCCATGTCACGCGAAGGGCAGCCGTACACTATCGGTTCTTTAAAACCATAGACTTAATAAAATATAGAACAAAAAGATAAACAATGAAGAGGCTTCTGCAAAACAAATATTCTGTAAACAACAAAGAAATCCCAAAAATAAGATACGGTCTAAACACACGAAAAATTATAATGACTGATCAATACAGGATTTTGCATTTTAATTTACTTATTAATTTGTGACAACCGGGTGAAAATACAAGTTGAAAGTATGTTTTACAGTTATCTAGGTTGCAATCCTACAAACTCAAAATATGCATCTGCCTATATACTTACGTATACATAACTACTACATTCATTTAATTAAACATTTTTGAACAACATTCTTACTACAACACAATTAAATATATAAAAAAAATACACCAATGCGTTAACAAGCTTTCTCTAAAATTTTATTTTTTAAGTTGAATAATATCAATATCCGATATCAATAAGTCCATTATATCTGCAGCACATTCTAGATTAGGGATTATAGTAAGAACTATTATTCAGATACACATTAAGAGTGAACATTTTTGGTCTTCTTGCGCAATAATTAATGTAAAAAATTATTTTAAACAATAAATTAGAGGCCTCAATTTCGACTCAAGGGTCGTTAAATCTAGGACCCCTCTCCTTATAGCCAACGATTGGAAATTAATCTTTTAAATCTCTCTTCATACGAGAGGTGCGTCTTAGTACGTACGTTAAATTTATAATATAATAAAACGTAACGTAAAGGTAGATCAATATATATGCCAATAACACCTACCCGCAAAAACTTCAGTAAGTTCGCGAACATGGCACTTTCGTCAGCGCCGAAATAATGGGTACTCGAAAACTATAAGTAACCATGATAAATGAAGTGCCATTTTGCCTTGTCATTGAATTAATAAAAAAGATAAAAAATATAGCTATAAAATTTTAACTACAGCATCCTACAAGCTTAAATCGAAGAAATACTTTAGAAACCCATCTAAACGATTGAAATAGTCCATTGACTTTGGTATAGTGTACTAAAACCTTCATTATAATTTATATTCACTGCGTCCAAGTAAAAGGCTCTATTAAAGCAACGAAATTAAACAAATTTAATAGACTTCTATCTAATAGAAATTGTTTATTTTCAATATAAATTGTGCCTAGATTTACAATTACTATGTCGATCGGCTGGAACGACGGTTGCATTAAAAGTTAATTTAAACTTTTAATTGCTTTGTTTTGTTGCTTATAAATTATTGGTTCCGCCTTCGTGTAGTTTTCTAGTGTATGCTTTCCTTGCCGTGCGTGACGTCTCAAATATGATGCAGAGGTAGTTAAAATGAGACCCCTATTTCCTTTAAAAAAGACATAACAGACGGAATTCACTGTCACTCATAAGCATCTAAAGTTGTTTGGATTTGAACAAAGTAACTTACATGGTGATGAATCTTCGTATAGGCACATACTCATATGAAAATTACCTGAAAAAAGTAAACGATAATAATTAAATGACAATAGTATTTTTTTCCTATCTATTGATGACATTTCTTTAAAAAGAAACTATTATATTCAAATATAGTTCAATTTAGTGTTCTAAGAAAATACCCGCCACAATTTTCTAATTAACAAACCATAAAGAAATTTCAATAAGTTTCGATACGAATTACTCATTGATTACTTCTTAATAAAGCCTTTTAAATTCCAATGTGTTCACAATAATCCAATTAATATCAACTTTCGAACCAGTTCAACAACATGAGAAAGGATAATAAATATAATGATATATCTGTTAGTTTGCTATCACTTCACATTTACTGCAAGGAACATCTCACTTGAAATCTTACAGTATCACATGTAAGAATGTAGTTCAGCCGCATTTTATATTGTCGAACACATTATCTAGTCGGAGATTATTGGAAAGCAATAAATAATAATAAAGCGGACAGGGCCGGCTTGCGTGACACACGCTACCGTGCGCCGGCGCAGCCCGCGGGCTCAGCGCGTATCTCCGTGTGTATACGTTCCTGGACAATTTGTTATCAATTTACTGTAACATTTTTCATAATCATATATGCGTGGTAACAGTTATGTTAGTTTTAAGCACTGGTAATTCAGTTGTACCGATACTTCCCATTTAATTAAATAAAAAGTCTAATTTGGTATTAGATAATGCTGTTTTTACTTATAAGCTTAGGAATATAACTTTTGTTCTGTATGATAAAAAAAGGTTTCTCTTCTTATCTTATATCACAGAATTGAAAGCATGGACAGGATCAAAACCTCAATTTAGTTTTGGTATCATTAGAATTACCACCATTGTCTGCCAATTAATCAGTAGAAACAAAATATGATGCAAGACCCAGTATTTTTACTGACGTGTGAAATAGGGCATGCGTTCAGCAATATGTCTTCTGTTACTTAGCAATCAGTTAACAATATTTTGCTTAAAAATAGCTGTATGGACGTTTACGGGAAATTTAATAGCAATGTATTTTATTAGACAACATAACTTTTTGAAAGTTTCTAATTCAAAGAGTTCAATATGATAGTAAGTAGCATGATAGTAAGTAGGGAATGTAACAATTAATTAGATTACTTCTGTTAGAGCATATGAGTTTCTTTAATCGTCCTTCGTATCAGCTAAATGACAATTTGACCCAGTGGTAAAAAATATTGGACGAATGAAAAGTAATAAATGCATTATATTAAAAAATTTTAACACATAATTTGTAATCCATATGTACGATTACCCTGCTAAATGCGCCGTGGTACAGTGGAGACAGATAACGAGTCAGAGATGTAAATCACTCTTTAGACCATTGTAGAACAGACGGACTCCGCTATATATGATGATATTAAAACATAATAATAGGAGCCATAAGAAATAATATAAAATATCAAATTAAATAATTTTATTGTTATAATATAGTGTTCATATTTTTTTTTAATAAAGTTACAAAAAAGCAACGTATTTATATAAGAAAAACATCTAGTATAATTAATAAAGAAAAATCTAAAATTAATTAGAAATGGAACCACATTAACAACGTCATATTTTACTTAGCACTCCTGCTTTTGGCAAGGTAATAAATTAAAAACTTAAAATAAAAATTTATAAAGTTACAGATATAACATATAAAATAAATAAATCTAATTTAAAAATAATATTCATAAGTAAACTGCCTAAACAAAGAATACAATAAATCATTAAAAAATATTTAACAATTACTTCTCTTTTATTTTGACACTCTTTTCACCTTTTACATTTTCTTTTACAGTTGATGCGGGTTCTGTTTCAGAAGGTGGAGTGGTAGGAAGTTTCTTATCAGGCCATTTCCTTTTAATATAATCAACTAGTAACTTAATATTAACGGTCTTTGATTTAGGTAATCGAGGCCCAGCGAACACTGTAGCAATCTCTTCCAACAAATCGTTATCCAGAGGAGCTCCAGATCGTTGTATAGCACTAGTGAATTCTTTAGGCTCCATCAATTCGTTTTTGTCTTTTAGCAATTGCATAGCAACAAGTGCTATGTCTACAGCGTTCTTCTTTGATTTCTTTGTTAAAAATTCGGCTCTATTTAATAAAAGCTCCCGCACATCTGGACCGACAGCCTTAAATGCTCCGACGATACCCCCAAAAGAAACAACAAGATTCTGCTTGGTCTTCATTTCCTTTATCGAATTTAATATTTCAAGAAATTCATTGTCTACGAATACGTTGTCCATTAGTAATTTCCTGAGTTTAATTTTCGGATCCTTGACTTTATTGAGCACGTTTTTAGCATCTTCTGTTGTCATGGGATTGTAAGATAGATCTAGAGTTACCAGTTTTTTAGCTTTAGTTAATCCTGGCAATAAGTTAGAAATGCCTTCTTTATTCAATTTATTATTGCTTAAGTTTAAGTGACGCAATTCTGGAGCACTTAAAACATTTTTTAAAGCTGTACCAATACGAGCTCCGGCCATTGAATTCCATGACAAATTCAGTTCTGTTAAAACATTGTTCTCTCCAAGACGTGAAAGAAAAATATACACACCTCCGGGAGAATAAAGATTGTTCCAAGAAAGGTCTATTTTTGTGAATTTGTTGAAAGTCTCAAATACTTCGGCTAGAGCACTGACACCGTTTCCGGTAATATTGTTGTAACTCAAAAATATTTCGTGTATGTCAATGCCACAAAATATTGCTGACGCAAGGTATATCATTCCTTGGTCAGTGAGATCATTTTTGTCAAGATTCAATACTCGTATGGTTTTATTCGACGTCAGCCCGTTGAATATACGTTTTGCACCCGCTGGTCCTATCTTACAGCCAGACAAGTTCAACTCGACTAATGTACAATTATTTGAAATCATATCTCCTAGATGATAACATGCATCGTCGTCCAAAAAGCTTCCCGTCAAGTTGAATACTTTGACATTCCTATTAAAGCGTAAAGCCAAAGACATCGCACGGATACCTTTGGAGCTGACGCAATAATAACGTAAATCTATAATTTCATTAAGTAAACCTCTGACAAAAGATTTGACAGGAGCTTCCTCCATTTCTTTACACACATTTTCGTATAATTCTTGGCCATCATCAGGGTATATGATTTTATCTTCAGGATCAATCAGAGCTGTCAATATACCCGGATCTTTTATAGCAGGATAATTATAATACGGGTGTCTAAAGACGTCGCTATCTGACAATTGAATATATTTGGCACATACCTCACCGCTTCCTGGGTGATATAAACCAAGTTGGAATTCATTCCGTTTAGGATTTTGTTCTGGAAATGCAATAATTAGTGAAGGCCATTCGTCCATAGGAGGTTCTTCCGAGCTCACATCGGCATCAGCCACGAATACTACCTCTGTTATATCTTCCAATTCGATGTTACTCTCGTCAGACATTTTATAATATTATGAATGTGTAATGTTAAAATAAGTAAGAGATTATAATAAATGTTTTTTTAGTTACTGAAATTGAAAATAAATAATTATGAAATGGAGCATCTGCTTCATAAATTGAGTGAATTGAGTAAAGTCAAAGTATGGCAAAGAGTAAAAGTATGATATGTCACTATAAAATTATTTATCTATGATATGCCACAATACCATAGATTTATAGATAACATAAAATTATTAACAAATAAAATATATTTCTATAACATTAGAGATTCTTGTTCCTGGTAGGTAGGCAAAACAAATCTGAGTAAATCGGTAGATAAATAGAATAAACTAAAAGTTATGAAATATATATTCATAGCGTTTCTAAAGTAAAATTATGAATTTAATATTCAAGTTATCAAAACCTTTGAAATAGACTATTAAAATCATAGACTTTAATGGTAGTGTGATTACAAGCTGCAAAGAATGCGCGGGCGCACGCAACGCTTTACGATGCTTTAATTATTGCGGCCTAGCAAAGGGATGGAACTCCTAAAGTAATTGCCTCAATATATATCATCAGTAGTTAAACTTTCTTCAATAAACTAAGAAAAGCGTCTTAAAGCAAGTTTAAATTTACAGTAATGAATAGGTGTTTTAATTTGTCATTAACGTTAAGAATGATTATTAGGTCTGTAAAATTAAAGATATTATTGCCTTCTAATTAAATATAAAGTAAATTAAAGTTTCCGTTGCCGTTATATATAAAGTTTATTGCGTGGCAGCTGCATTCGAAATGTGGGACGTTCATTTGGTAATAAAACGTACGTTTAATCGTATAATGAGATCAACACGCGCGTGGATCCTGACGCGTCTACTGTCAATTGTTTCAAGTCGACGCGTGAGATGCGGCCGCCTCCACGACCTTTCGACCTTCGCTGCAGGCCATTTGTAATGGAACACTTGATCGAGGTTGCTCGGAACGAACCAAAAATTCAAAAGACAATCGGATACATTGTAACAATAAAAATCATAATTTTCTACAATCATTCAACTAGTTACTAATCAGTCAGATTATTTTGATGGTTTTTCATTATGTAATTGTGTTATTTGGAGATGTCTAAATAAATGGGTCTTAGTGAAATTATTGCAGAACGTTCAGCATATCTAAGGACTTGATAATTTTTATATAGAAGTAACGAATCATCTACATATTCATTTGTTTGTTTCACTTAAGTCTGAGATACCTAGAAATAGCTTTCACGAAGGGCAGAGTGAAAGTGGTGCCACAGGGCGAGGAGCGGCCAAGGTCGTAGCTGGTGCGTCGATGGCTCTAATTGATCAAGCATAGAAACCGTTCGTTAGAAGCCCCATAAATCCAAGATGACGTCCGAGATATTTCCAAGGAAGGAACAACATTGCGTAGTGAAATCGATGATATTTACATCGATAGAAGAGAAAACAGTGAATCCTGTCGCAGAAATCACTAACAAGCGGGAAATGTATTTGAATCAGTTATGATAGTGAAATAAAATAGGCTTCCGATATAACGAATATTGGTAATGTACAAAATAGACCATCGATAAATTCATAAGCTGCGACTTTGCAAGGGGCGATACCCATCAGTACGGTTGTTACGTCCTGATTTGACTGGCGGCCTCAATCGGCGCTTAATCTTCACAATCACAAATTGGTCACACTACCAAAGTCGTAATTCTTGATTCGAGAATCGAGACCATGCCGTGCATGATTACAACTAACAATATACGGCTGTAATAACACGGTACTCCTATCGCGCTCAACCATTTAGTCAAATCAATCAAATGTTTGCGTTTTTCTCTGCAACAGAAATTATCACTAACTTACCATATCATTTAATCAAAATTTGTCGTGTTTCAAAACTAGTAATATATGCTTACATAATTAAGACATGAGATATTAATGTCTTTTCTCTGAAGTTCAGGCCTCATTGAATAAAAAAGAAAAAATCATGCACGCACCACATGAACTCTGAACGGATTGGTAGTTGTTAGAACTTCTACGATGTGGGACAATATTTTTTTGGTTACCTATCCGATGCTGTTGTGAAAGATGTACTTGGCTTCTAATGTGCTTACCAATACTATTCTGAATGTATGAATACGTATCAGAATGTATATGTATTTCAAAATAGGTTAATTATGCATATTTGTCAATTCTTATTTAAAATGTGGCGAATCATCTTCGCATGAGGTAACAAACAATCTTTCACATTTGGAATATTTGAAGGAATAGTGTAGAAGATGAATCAATGAAATAAATAGTAGAATATTACAAAGATTGTCATCGAATAACTATTATATAAAAACCAATCAACAAACGCAACGATATTTTCCCATTACACCCTTGAACAAGCGAAACAGTTATGTTAATTTTGTGAAAGCTGGAAAATTATAAACGATGAATCCATCTTATTGAAGTTCAACAGCGACGTCGTCGGTATAATTCCTTCTATTGGTAGTTGACCCCCGGCCGCAATCGTTTTCCGATGAGCACCCACCGTTGACAGCTTTCTCCGCCGTAAAGGCGTGCTGTCGAATATAAATGGCTGCCAATGAGCTCTAGGGCTGATCGAAAGGGGTCAGGAAGCTCTTACCGAATTTGGTTTGCTGAGAACTAACTTGCTGATTGTAAACGAAGACAATTATACCACGATTCTCGTTACCTTTGTGAGCCTCGGTAAAGTAAATATGCATTTCATGAGGATAAAATGTGTGCGTTAAACACGTTTTCTTGTTAATAATAATGTGCAAACATACGTGTTGCATTTACAAATAAATTGCCAGAAATGTCTGAGGTAAACTGATGTTATGCATTAGTAATAAATGGTTATTACATAGCCTGGAAGGTACTGAAAAGCGATAGTCCCCATTCAAGGTACTTATTACATAACTAAATTTTCATTCAGATTAGTACGAGTATTAATTTATTGTCATTTATTTATATGCGTTTGTTTTATCAGCACATGCTGTTAATTCGTGGGAAAGTAGTCAGAATAATTCGCATTCGTTATTAACACAATTGTCTAGTCAATAGTATCGATTTATCGGTATATCGAGATAAGCTATTAACGTATTGTAATCGGGTTTGGGTGCGCCTCCGTCTAATTGTTTAGTTGCTTTGTGTTAGGATAACATTAGAAGGAATGTCTTTTTGGCACCTGGCTACAACGACCGTGACTTGTTGTAACGTAATATTACGTTCATATAGGAAGTGAGATTGAACTTATCTTTGATTTTTTAATCATCAAATCTCTATCTAATTGTAATTAATCGAACCATAAAAATGATACAGCACTTGTACTTATTTTATATGAAAATTAATTGGAAGTTACCTAGACTTCGAATAGAGGTATATTGAGTATCATCATTAATCACTTATAATTTGAAATTATTATAATTCAGTATCACTTTTTAATGTCATCAAATAAATTTGGGAAAATAATGATGTAAATGCAACACTGTGCGTTGCAACCCTGCTAGATACGGTCGAATAACAAATTTCACATTAGCAAAGGACTTCATCATCAGACGTAGAGATGTTTAGTTCACAAATAGCCGGCTCCCAGAGCAGCTCTACTCGCTATAAATCGTGAACACAAGCGCAACTCCATAACTCAGTGGCGCACCCGCAGACGACAGCGCCGCTCATACGCCGACGGCCACTTTCGGAACTATTTGATTTAGAGAAATGGGAAGGCGTGGTAAAACAGCATTGTTTTCACTTTAAAATTTACTGAACCTAGATAAACTGTATTTGGTCTGATAATGAAAGCTGCCGTTTAAGAGGAAAGTGCGGCTGACAGTCGAGAACTAATGTTTACGGAACTAATGCATCGAGTAAATCAATCCGGCTGTTTAGATTTTGTTGTAAACAGGTCAGTAGGGTAAGAAGTGTTTACATACATTAACCTAGAAGATTGTTACATAAAATCTTCCAAGCGATTCATTAATTTTAAATTAAACATTACATTATTCTCCTAATGATTTCAGTGGAAGTATTTGGTGCAAAAACTGTGCGTTATATAAGGAGACGGCACGTATGTTAGCGATGTAAGCATCGGTAGCATAAACAAATATAATGTAACCGGTTTTTCAGGATGAACCGAAATATAAGGATTGACCAAGTCAAAAAATACGTGCATCAGCGTAGATGTCAGATCGTGAGTCGCCCGCATCGAGGACGAAAAGATCAAGCACCAGACAAAATACGAAATAATGTTAATTGCTCACTCGTAGCACGCGCGTGCTCACCAGCCCAAAACGTAATAAAAACAGAACGACAACCGTAAAAGGACTTTGTAAAAAACACAAAAGTGGTCGGAGGAATCCATGAATAAAAATACCGGACCAAAAACATAATGGCGCCAATTAAGGAGTGTTTGGAACTGTCTAAACTCGGGAGTTCGACGGCCGTTGTGCCTACGCAGAACACAGAGCAATTAACACTATATTTCTGCAGGTCGATATCCGTAATTAAATAAGACATTTTCTAGTATTTTAATCAATTAATAAATAATCTGCTAACAATTTTTTAACATAGCTCAGATCTAATAATTAAGTAACAGTTTATCATGATAATCTTATTCAGTAAAATATAACAACTATAGATAATTTAGAATAAATGGCTAAATTATTCACTCTATCAATAAAAACATGGTGTTAAACGGATATAATAATTCGTCAAACGACCACACAATTATGTAAATAGATTGAAGCAACTTTAAATCAGCTTAAGTCTTTAAGTGCTGTTTAGCTGGAGGTCGTGAGCGCATGATTATCAGGATCTCGTTTTATTATGTTATTTTGTATACTTGATAACCCTTTCATCGCAATCAGAGTATAATGGTTCCGCTTTTTCTTATTGAGCTGCTAAATAATAAAAATATCAAACTTAAAATAATTTCGACTTGTCAATAGAAAAAGATAACATTGTCCATCTGACACCAGCAATTAAACGGACCAAATAAAACTTTGCGAAAATTT